CGCTCCCCGCCCCGGGGGGATCCGGGCTCCGCTCCCCGCCCCGGGGGGATCCGGGCTCCGCTCCCCGCCCCGGGGGGATCCCGGCTCCGCTCCCCGCCCCGGGTTGATCCCGGCTCCGCTCCCCGCCCCGGGCGCACCCGCGGTCGCTGCAGGCACTGCCGCGGGAGGCGCTCCCCGAGCCCCGGCTGCAGCGGCGCTGTGCCGTGGAGCCTTTGGGCCGCCCCCCCGCCCCAACATCCGCACGGCGAAGGCCGCGGATGCCGCGGGTGCTCGACCCCGCCCGTGCTGCTCTGCTGAGCGCTTCCCGCTGCTCCTGGCCTGCGAAGTGGTCATTCCCACGGTGCGCAGCCCCGCGGGGCCGGCTGCGGGAGGCGAGGAGTGAGCGATGCGCGCCCCGCACAGGTCGGGGAGCTGGGAGAGCTGGCGGCAGGGGAGGAGGGGCGAAGCTGGGCAGCAGCGAGCCCGTCTCCCAGGGAGCTGTTTGCTTCTTTGAACTTCACTTCTCGTTTTGGGAGCTCCCAGGCAGAGATGCCATGAGCCAGCTCGCCGAGCGCTGGGCAAACGGGGCTGTTGGGCAGCCTTGGTGTGAACGCGCCGTGTTGTGTGAAAGGTGAGTTACGCATAATACAAACAAGTCTATCTAATAACCTACCAGTGCCAAAAGAAACATGGTTTTATCCCCCTAAGATTCTTTTGCATCAGCTCCTCAGCACCTTTGTTTGGTCAGTTCAACTCACACCTCTGGCATGGAGCTAACCCACTGGAAAGAGAAATCCAGAATGATCCCAGGAGGGGTCAGCACAGGTGAGAGGGGAAAACAGCAAGTAGGGTTTATTGGCAAATTGTTTCCCCTAAGCTGACTTCGGTGTTTGTGTTGATGACATGGCTCATCTACAAACTGTGCTGCCTATGAAAATTTGACTTTGTTCGATAAAGTATGTCAGGTTGTAAACCTTGGCACTAGTTACATGAAGTCAGAGCATGACATCCAATTCAAAATTACTGCAAAATATTTTATAAACAAGCAAATACACAGCTGTGTTTTCTTCCAGTAGTGAAGGAAGGTCCAATTTATACAGGCAGAGAAGAAAGCAGGTAATGCAGTAGCTGAAAGTACAAGTCTGTCATGGGATATGGAGCTCTTAGTTCAGAAGAGAAAACACTTTATTTAGAGATAAAATTGCCAGACAACTTTATTTTAGTTCCAGAACATCAACTTTAACAAAGGTTCGTTGTTGAAAATCAGAAGAAGAGAAGTTAAGGCCTGCACACCAGGGCAGAATTAAGATAACCTCAAACACACAAGCCTGGTCTGCAGGCTGGCAGTAGTCACTAGGAGACGTGTGCAGGTGTTACTGCTGTATTTACTCTGTCACCTGTTCTTTCAATGAGCAGAAGGAGGAAGTAGCTGGGTTGTGTAGCAGAAATACATTCATGATGGAAAAGCAGCTTTGGGTGGAGAAGTGTGAGTCTGCCTGGGTGTGTGGAAGGAAGGACCAATATGTCTTGCTTCAGAGCTGTATATCGTAGGTCATGTCCTCTGTGAAGCAAAGGATTTTTGTCTTTTTTACCCTGGGATGCTGAAGGTGAGTGTGATGCGTACACTCACTATATAAACAAGATGTTTTGATGGTACCCTGCACAGAATCAGCAACTGGGCTCTTCCTCTTGAGTGTGTTTGGAATTTCTCTCAGCTAGGCTTCCCAATATTTAGAAATCCTGAACAAATATAGGAAATTGCTGAAGAAAGGAAGGCTGCAGCTGAGAGAACCTGACCATGTGAAGCACATTTGGACTGCCATAAAGTGTAGTGACTCCATGAATCTGTAGAGTTCACAGTCATAGTATTCATTAAAAGGGCTATTATTGCTGTGTGACATTAAAATCCCTACTTTTCCTTTGTGAATGATTGTTACTAGGATGCTGTAAAACTAAGGATGCCAAAGGTTCAGAACTAGATAATACTTTTGCCAGTTCTAGAAGACAGTCTGAAGCTGGCGTTTCTTGTTTGTCTGGCATCCACAATTACTCTTGGATTAGTATGATTTGTTTGGCTTATTATAGAAATAGAAAGTGTGAAATTCTATTCTCAAAAACAGATGCCAGCTCACTGGAGACAGAAGAGCTTTCTGTTCTTCTCATGTGGTCAGGCTAAGTCTATAGTAATGAGCTACATAAATGAGATGCCGTTGCCTACAAAGGAGATACTTAAGTTTCCATGCGTAACTTGCAGTATGCAATAGCATTATCCTATTGGACAAACTTTTGGGATGAAGTCATATTTGTTTTCTTTGTAACTGCATGGACTGGCTCTCTAATTTACTTTTTTAGTCACCTTAAGCACTCCTGAGCAGGAAGTGACAGAAGGGTGTCATCACGTTCATAATGTCTTTGGCTTCTCCACCGATACTGTCAACATGCCAAAACGTTTGAGCCAATTAAAAGTTTAGGCTGAGATACCAATGCATTTGCTCTCTGAACAATTCATTTCTTCTAGTAACACGTAATATCTTTCACTTGGCTTAATAGTCCATTACCTGGGTTGGACCCTGCAACTTTGTGGGAGAGCACCAGCCTCGTGCTGGAGTAATGGTGAAAAAACCATTGTTCTTACAGAGAGCTGACCTGTAACAGTAAAGTGGTTAAAATCCTGCTCCTGCTGTGGGTAAAGCTGCTTTCCTTTACACCATAGTCCTTCCACTCAAAATGCTTTGGACCTTTAATTATTCAGGGGTTTACATTTAGACCATTTCAGGGAAAAATGGTCTAAAAACTTTAAAAACTTTTAAAACTTTTGAGTTTTTAAAAGTCAAAAAAGCCTCCTACGGCGTTTTGGGTTTGTGGATTGTTTGGTTGTTGTTTTTTAACCCATATGTGACTGTGCTGCCAAAAAATCTTAAATAGTTCCACTAGACTAAAGTAAGTTGTAAGTGTTTGTAGGCAACAATTATTGCTGAAAAATATTGACATTTCACATTTTCAAGGCTGCTTTCCCCCCCCTTTTAACTGCCAGCTGTGATAGGCAATTTTAAGGGTAGGAGGCTGTGAAGGGCGTTAGAGACATTCATATTGAAAAAGAATGAAACAATATTGCAGCTGATCCATATGTGATGTTGTCGATGAAAGGACCAACGACAGGGATAGTGAGTGAAGATGGACAGCAGGTCAGGTATGGACTTGCAAAAGAACATAGTGGGAACAAGGGCAGCACTTTAATTTTGGGTTTTGTGTGTATAGAAAAACATCACTATATAATATGTGTAACTCTGCCTGTGAATCAGAATGGCTAGAGAGGTAAGTAAGGTTATGTCAGTTTTAAGGTTAGTTAGTCCTTTGCCTGGCTTTGTTACCAAGGGAGCAGTGTGATTTCCTGCTACTCCAGCAGGGATGGTACCTGGGAAATGGGCCGCAGAGCTGCAGGGGTGAAGTGTGACACAGCCAAGGGCTGGATTCTACCGGGACAGCTCATGAAGATTTGTCAGAGCGGCAAGGAAATGTGTGTCAGGCGTTGGTCGCATTTGTGCCGTCCCAGGTCTTTCACTCCTGGGAGGAGCTCACACAGCTGGGCTTTGCCCTAAGCCACGTTCTGCTTAGGGCCATATCTCTGGATTTATGGAGTTTGGACTACCTTTGCTTTCCAAAAGCCACGTCTGGAAGCGCCCGGGGACCTGCAGCGCTGCAGTTCCCCTTTTGCTCTGAAGCCGTCCCGGGCGGGGATGGATGCAGTGGCTGTGCTGAGCTCCGGTGGTGGCAGCAGCACGATGGGGAACCTGCTGCCCTGCGAACACGTCCACCCACCCCCACACCTCTCCCGCCTGCCTTCGAGGTCCCTGCAGCAGAGCGGACCTCGGCCGCCCGTCTGCTGCACCCAGAGCCAGCCCCGAAGCATCCTCTCTCTCCCGGGTTCCCTTGCACACCACGGCGGGGCCGTGCAGCTCCCGCGGCTCCTGCACACCCGAGCGAAGCCGCAGCCCCAGTGCCTACCTGCGGGGCGGTGGCGGGCAGGGGAGCCGCCCCTCCTGGGCGCGGAACTATAAGAGCAGCCAGAGCTATAAGAGCAGCGCAGATCTATAAGGGCAGCGCAGCGCGGGGCGCAGCGGGAGCCATGGGGAACCGCGTCACCCGTGAGGACTTCGAGTGGGTCTACACGGAGCAGCCCCATACGCAGCGCAGGAAGGAGATCCTGGGTACGCCGGGGCGCTCGGGAGCGGCCGCCGACGGGGAGGGCAGGGCTGCGCTCCGGGACGGGGCGGGTGGGGCGGGGGATCGGCGCCGGGTCCGCCTGTGTCGGTACCGAGATCGGCTCGGGGCGGGTGTCCAGACTGTGGAGAGCCACGGCCCGGTGGGCTCGGAGGGGTGTTTCCCCCGAGGGGCGCAGCTCTCCCCCGACTCTCTGCCTTCCGGAGGCAGCGGTAAGCCGGCTCACCGGAGCGGCAGAGCTGCGCCCACCTGCCCGCACCGCGCCCCGGCTGCCGTCGGGGGATCCCGGCGGGCGCCAGCCCTTCCCAGTCTGCCCGGACTGCGGGCTGGGAGCCCTCCCGAAGGCACTTGTTCCCAGTGTCTTGGGAGTGCAATAAAGTCAACGGGGATGTGGGTGAGGTTTGCTAGAGAACAATCGCAAGTCTCCCGCTGCTTGTCAGGGACAAGGTGCACGTCTGTATTTTCCTGTTAACTGCGCACAGGAGTGTGTTGGGTCGGGAGGTTTATTCTACTTTGGGGCTTTGGGCTATTCTGAAGATCGTTTCAGAGAAGAATTGATAGTTCAGAATTGTTGCAGAGTATTGTTGCGTGTCTCCTGAAAATACATTTCCAACCTTTTATTAATAAATAAAATTTTTATTTTTTTTCCTCAGTTTTTATTTGGGTGGGTTGGTTGTTCTGGTTTTTTCCCCCTCTAATGAGTAGGATAAAGTTTTTAAAGTACTTTTATAAAGAAGGGCACTGGAAAACTTGTGGCTGAGTAGCAGCTCGGGGTGCGTATATGCTAATTAGGTGCAGTATATGCTAATTAGGTGCAGTATTTTAAATCCTCCACAATCTCATAGATTAATCCAGGATTAATCTAAATTACAAAAACATTTCCAGTATAGTTGCACCAGTGGAATATCCTGGTACAGGTTTGAATTACACCCAGGAAAATAATAATTATTTTACTATGTAATCAAGGTAGAGAGTCAAATGATATCATTATAGAAAATGATGCTTCTTGATGTGCTACTCATCCTTTTAGTCAAGGGCACTACATTTTGGTGAGCTATGGGTAGAAGTATCTATGGTGGATCTCTACCCTTACTAATCTCTTGCTTTTCTGGTTGTGCTGTAGAATGGGGACTGCAGATCACAATGAAGTTGTATTATGTAAAGAGTGCTTGGGCTCCCTTACCCTTGCTGCAACAAACTCTTCTTAGGATCTTTCAACTGCACACTTGCAGAGGTTTTACCCACCTCTCCTTTGGGTTCAGAACAAGTGATTGGAATCAAGGTCCATCCTTGCAGCCCCCAGCTGTGGGAGCAAAAGGAGGGGAATAGAGAAATACAACATGGGAAGAGAGACATGAAAGATGTGGGCAGAACAATCAAGGCAGAATGGATCATGACACTAGTGTCATGATACCAAAATGTTACCAAAAGTTACTGAAGCTGTCGTGGTATCCTCTATGATGCTGGTGTCATGGTCCTCACTGTATTATTCAAAGCCTGAGGATCAGCAAACCCCTAGTACCCAAAGTATGTACTTATCAAAATGTGTAGTGTCCATTGAGCTGGAGAACACTGTAAGAATCTTACATGCATATGAACAAATATCTGTAAAAGTCCATGTATTTTCTGTTGTTTTATACAGCAATGCCTTGGGGACAACATTCCATGCTGGTAAAGGAAGTATTTCCCTCCAAATAGGTTAATGATTTAGTTGCTAAGCACTGAAACTTGATTGTTCTCTGTTTATGCTGCAGCTTTCTGAAATGTTGGTCTCTCTCAGGCATGGCTACTTGGATTTAAATGCTAGTGGAAATTATCTGTTAAGAAAACTAAAATGAGCAAACTGACAAACATGTAGGGCAGTTTCTTTCTTTGGGTTGTTGCCTCAGTGTTCTGATAGAACAACTGAGAGGTAAAAATGGTCCATCACAAAGTTGTGACTTAGTAGCCTAGGTGTCTGTGAGACTTTTGTAGTCAGTGACAACGTGTCTGAAGGAGAACTCCGTGAGTCCAATCTCCCTGCCAAGGGCAGGGACATCTTTCACAAGGTGAGGTTGCTAAAAGGCCCATCCAACCTGACCTAGAACACTTAAGAGGGATGAGCCATCCACAACTCCTGTGGGCACCTTGTTCCAGTTGAGCTGCAGAGCTGTGAGCTGTGTTTATCAACTGGGCTGGCTGGGAGGTAGCTTGTGGCAGGACTTTGTTGCACTAGATGAACCTACTAGAGGTGTGATTCCTAATGGCTATAATTATACCAGCAAATAGATCAAGGTTTTGTGCAAGGGAGAGGTAATCCTTTCTCTGTTATCTCTTTGTCGTATCTTACTCTTAGAATCTAGGTATTAAAACGTAGCTTGTGTTTGGTACTGTCTAGGTGCCAACTGCTTCTAAGTTACAGGGGAGGTCCCTTGCCAAGCTGGCACTTCGACCCATATCACATTGTACGTGTTCCTGAACATGTTATTCACGCCTTTCAGTTTATGAAATGGAACTGTTTCATTGCTATTCTCTCGCCCTCTTGGTTATGAAAAGCCTGTTGCTGCCCGGTGTCAGGGCTGAGATTTGTGTAATGCTGCAGTGAGCTCTGTTAGGGAAAGACCTGGCTAAAAACTTCCTGATGGAAGAAAGGTTTTTTCATCTAGAGCTGCTTAGCCTTTCTGTATAGTTACAAAAATGCTATTAGAGGGAGATATAGGGTACAACACAGAGGAGATATCTACTTCTAGTAGAAATAGGATTTCTACTTTAGCGTCAGTAAGGATTTTTTGGATCAAAACACTTGAAGAACTATAGTCTTACACAGTTGGAAGTATTGGTGATTTGTCACTCTTGAGAGATGAAAAAAGCATTGCTCAGATGCAGGTAACACCATAAGCACAAAATGTATGGCTATTTCACCTGCAAACAGTTTCTCAAATGCAAGCAATGAGCAGTATGTTGTGACACGGGAAGCGTGAGATCATATTTGTGCCATGGGTTGGATCTAACTTTTTAAAATTACTGTAGGTTGTTCAGAAAATGTCTTGCCTCACAGGATCCTTAGGGAAGCACTTGTTTGCTGCTGAGGATGAGGGCTTACTCACTGTTGCTCAGGGTAGACCGGGAACACCTGAATATGATCTAACATATAAGAATAATTCATAATTATATAATTAATTCTTTGCCAAGTTATTTTGGAGTGGAGATGGTACAAGCATTTTATATGTGCTTTATTCTGTAGGAAGGCTGAGATGTTAGCCTATGAGGAGGGGTAAAACACAATAAAAAAAGCAAAAAAAACATTTTATTTTAGCAGTTATCTGGTCTGAGTATAGCTCCCAGCTCTGCCTTATTTAATCTGCTATTTCTTTCAGCTGTCTCTTCTGTTGCCTATTTAAACCTCACATTTATGAAAATTCTGATAAATTGTACCTACTGAAATATGCATAGGCATCTCTCCTTAGCTTAAATGAAAGCTCTGAATTACATGTGCTTCTGGCAAAGAAACTGAGTTTGTTTTCCCTTTATTCTGCAGTATGTGGGCTCAGTGCTGCCACTGATGTGCTTGTTCTCTGATGAGCACATCCAGAATAGCTGCTATCTCAGTGCTCATGCCAATTCCCTGTGGGCATCACCTATGAAATAAATCACATGAGGAGAAAGTCGCTGGTTTAGGCATTTGTAGTCCTCTGTTGAAAATGTATTAAGTGTAACCAAAGGCTTCAGCCTACTCCATATTGTGGGTTGTTGTTTCAGAGGCAGCTGGAAGTCCTCTTCCTAGCATTCCTACATCCCTTTCCTCTGAACTAGCTAGCAAACAAGTGTAAGCAAGGTTATAGCTGCTGTCATAGTCATGTGCTGACATAGTGATGTGCTGACATCATCCATCTCTGTTGACACCAGCAGTGTGGCACCACTGGGTACTTTCCCTCTGGTGGCACTTCTGAGTGAGCCCCTTGGACCAGCCAGCACTAAGCAATTCAGAGGCTTGTGGTTGGCAAGTACAAGATTAAGACATTTTTCCTTGCACAGTGGATATATAAAACTTCAGTGTAATTAGCTGGGCAAAAAGGTTTCTTATTAGTTTGCCTACTGGAGGGATTAGGAGACTATACAGAGCCAGAAGCTTTTGTCATGCCTGTTGTCCTCTGTGTGTCCTGTGTCTTGGCCCATGTATGGTTTGAATTAATCATAGAATAGTTTCAGTTGGAAAGGACCTTTAAAAATCACCTACTCCAACCCCCTTGCAATGAACAGGGATGTCTTCAACTAGATCAGGTTGCCCAGAGCCCCATCCTACCTGGTCTTGAATGTTTCCTAGGATAGGGCATCCACCACCTCCCTGGGCAACCTATGCCAGGGTTTCACTGCCCTCATTGTAAAAAATTTCTTCCTCATATCTAGACTGAATCTCTCCTCTTTTAGTTCAAAACCCTTGTCCTATTGCAACAAGCCCTACTAAAAAGTCAGTCCCTATCTTTCTTATAAGCCCCCTCTAAATATTAAAAGGCAGTAAGGTCTTCCTAGAGCTTTCACCTCTCCAGGTGGTAGAGCCTCAATTCTTAACTCTCTCAGCTTTTCCTTACAGGAGAGGCTCTCCAGCCCTCTGACAATTTTTGTGGCCCTCCTCTGGACCTGCTCCAACAGTTCCATGTCTTTCACTGAGGACTCAGGTGTGCTGTGCTGTTTATGAGCATGTTCATGAGCTGAGCTGTTATGAGGCAAAACATGGTCCTGTCAGTAAACTGTCTTCTTTTGGTTTGTTAATTTTTTTGGTACAAATATCAGCTCCAGTATAGGACATGGGGTATTAAAGCTTACATCCTGTGCCTGGTGTCTCTTATTTGTTCTGGCAGGGACTCATAGTCAACAGAACATAGTCCAGGACAGCAGTGTCACAGAGATTTTTTTTTTCCTCTTCTCTTTAACAGACCTCCTAAATGCCTTATACTGAATGGTATCTCCACTTTGACTATATCTGTATGTTACACTTGTGGTCAAAATAAAGGAAAATCAAGAAATTAAATTTCTTCTCTTGTTATTACTAGCTTCTTGTGGATGTAGGCAAGGCTGCTGCTCCTTTAAACCTCTATCACTGTCTTCATGGAAAGCTCCTGCTCTTGTTCGCTTCCAAATCCCATGTATGTCAAAATGTGCAAGTATAAAGTATGTGATGTCACATCAACAAGAAACTGTGTTTGGGACCATCACTGGGGCTCTTCTGAGTTACCTCAGGAACAGTGTCAGTAGCATGGAGATTGAGTGAGGGTTCAGAACAAGATATTTGCTGTCTCCTGAAGAGGAGGAACACCAGGACCTGGCAAACAATGGCCTCTCCAGGAACAACTGATCCAGCACTAACTGAGGATCACAGTAGGGCTATGGTGAGTGTTCCTGATCTCCAGAGAAAAATATCAAGCTAAAAATATGTAGTCAGACTAATTTGTCAGTTTAGAAACTTGTGCTGAGTGTGACCTGCCTCTAGAAAGGTGACTGATGCTTACACACAACAGTGGAGTGATCTCTCTGAAATGTTAATTCAGTAAATGGGTTGTTTCAGAATCGTGAACGCTTCTGAAAATATTCTTGCAGCGTTTATTCTCTCTTGACTGCTGTTCTTTCATCCACACTTGTACAAGTGGGAAATGTCTTTCATCATCACGGAGCAGCTTTCAGCTGCTCTGAGGTTATGTATAGAGACTGTGGAGGTGGCTGAGCAGAATTATTAACTACACTTACCTTCTCTACTAAAGTTCCCATGCTGCTTTTGCAGTGTGCTGACCTGGGAGACAGAAAAGTCCTGCTGTTATCTACACCAGTATCCCCACTCTCCAAAAGACAGTACAATGGATCTGTCCGGACAACTAGAACCAGCACACGTGGATAAACTGTCTGCCAGGCTTAGCTAATGGGCTTTCTCAATAAGCCAGAGGCTGGAAAATGTGCCATGTAGACACTAGAGTAGCTGGAGCTCTGCTATTCTCTAAAGGGCAAAACCTGGTCCTATATAGTCATAGAAATTTGTGGGTGTCATGGCCTGTCCCAGGTCATGTGTCCACACATGAACCCCAACTGCCTTATCTAGAAGGGCTGAATCATGAGGTTGTTTTTTTTATCCTCTTTCTGTGTCCTCTCCATGCCATGATTTTGCATAATGAAGAGTTAGCTCTAGATTACATCATGTTTTAGCCCTGCCATGGTGCTTGTTGGGAAGCAATGGACTCTGGCCATACAGAAGCTCATCATTCTTAGAATGGAAAAGCACTCAGGAAGACCAAAATGGAAGCAATTCAGGAAAGAGCAGCACGATGAGAAGCTCTGTTCAGATGCTTCCTTGTGTGGAACTCTAGCAGTCTCAAGACTGGGGAGTAGGTGTCTGTTTACTTTGCAAAGTGCAATGTGTAGAAAACAAAGGTGGTCTTTACTGGCTGGCTGCCAGAGGTGCCTCCTGGTTCAGCACTGCCAGTAGCCCTGCCTCTGATTCTCTCCTTTTTGATGTGCAGATGAGTTATGTCTGGTTTGTACAGCACCTACAGTCTTTCAGCTAACTGCAAGGCATGAACACGAGGGAAAAAGGAGATAAATATTTGTGTTACCACATCTTTGTGTCAGTATGTTATACATAAACTCCAGTCATCAGGATCTCTTAATCTGAGACTAAATGTGTCTCACTGAGGAGTGCTTAGCCTCAAGTCTATACAGGGTCAGTATTCAACATTCTGCATTTGAAGCATTTCTGAATGAACAGATCTTTGGCAGGCTACTCCACCAGCAGGGCTTTTAGCCTCCAGTGATCTTACGAGCACCACACCCCTGCCCAAGTCATGATTTCTTCATGGGGAGAAACCTGAGGTCTCTCCATGCCATGGAAATGGGACAGGTTTATCAGTATTAATGATAAATAGCCACACTACTGTGGTTTGACTAGTATGCAAAGATTAACTGTTGGAGAGGAGTTAATCATGTGTTGAATTTAATATTAAACCCTAGCAAGTTACTTAATAGCTGTCACCTGTGACAAATGCAACCTGCCTGCATTGCTGCCTGCACACTGCTCTGAAACCTCTTAAATGGAATCTGTGGTCCTTGTTGACTGCTACAGAAAGAAATAGGTCAAAAACTTCCATTATTCTCAAATGACAATATAAAGCATCTCTAAGAAATTTTCCCATCCCATTAATTTTTTTTTTTTTGGTGAATATAGAATTACAGAATCAGCTGGGTTGGAAGGGACCTCTGAGATCATCAAGTCCAACCCTTGATCCACTACCACCACGGTTACTAGACCATGGCACTGCCACATCCAGTCTCATCTTAAAAACCTCCAGGGATGGAGAATCCACCACTTCCCTGGGCAGCCCATTCCAATGCCTGATTACCCTCTCTGTAAAGAATTTCTTCCTAATATCTAACCTAAACCTCCCCTGGCAGAGTTTAAGACCATATAGCCTTAATTTGACCAAGCTGACCAACAGATCTGGTTGTTTTACATTTCTTCATCTCTTTTTTTCGCTTCAGTAACTTACATCTACCAGCTATGCGACTGAACAATTGAGGTGGTTTGATTTATTAAAGAGTTTTCTGGGTTCTGGACAGAGGCCCCTAAGCAGGAGATTAAGCTATATAAAATTGCATATCTTTAACAGTCTTTCTGACCAGGTCAATATATCAAGTTATTCTTTAGAGTGGACTTTGAATAAGCAGCACTTCATGTAGAATTTTGGTACATATTCAGGTACTAGGGAACAATTTTTAGCATGTTAATTTTTCTAGTGTGAACACTATAATTTTAGAAAACTGTGAAAATAAGAACGAAAGCAAAACAGAAACCCTTTGGACTTTCCTGAGATTTTTATCAAAAAAATTTGACTGACTTTAGAAAGATACGAACTTTTACTAGAGATTTCCCACCACTTAGAAAAATTTCTCTTTTGCCTGATTACTCCTCATGGTGAATTGGCCCCCTTGTCCTCACAAGAAGAATTGGGAATATCTCTTTTCTCACCATCTTCCACAGCACTTGTCTAGTCTTTATTGTCCCTAATCTCTGTCATGCTGAGGTGAAGCTGGCTAACAGGCTCAAAAGTTGTTGGAATGGTTACAAAGCATGACCATATCAATCTACTTCCTTAAGTAGTACTTCATCTCTCTGAAACTTCAGCAAACTTCTCAGGCTTCACTTTTACAAAAGCCTTCTCTGCATTCAGCACTCCATACCTGCCACTGCTTTCAAGGTCACATAAACTACATGTGTTGTCTCCAGCATTTGTTTATAACATATACAGCTGCATAGATGCTGGTCATTGTAATCTGATTTTATTGCATTGGTGTTATACTGTGACACTCAGATGATGTTTACTTTTCTATTCATAAAACAGGCCTATCAAACTTACAGGACACACTGTGTAACCTCAGGGTTCAGAGCGAGTGACTTGTCTACGCACTTATCTGTGTAAGCTGTAATTTTTGAGAAATGCAGAGTATGAGTTAAAGGAGGGAGGTCAGTAGGTAGGTAAAAGTCATAAAACAGTGGAAAAAATTATGTGCAAGTTAATACTAGAAGTGAGAAGTGTGGATTTGTAAAGAGGAGATGTGTATCAATGAACAGCACCTAGAGGATAAGCTCTACTCTGTATTTTCTTTCTTTTAAAAGGAAGATAAATGATTGCTAGAACCAAAGATAAGTAAGCTAGTCCTGGCCTCATGTGAGTCAGACCTGGTAAGCCTAACCCATGTCTCTCTGACACTGCAGTAGTTGTGACGCCTCATGAAGCTGTTGTGTGATTATCTTGTGGCTTTTATGCCTGCTTTTGGTATGTGACTTGGGAACAGGCCAAGGAATGGGAACAGAGAAAAATTTTCTGTGTCTTACAAAATCCTGATGATATTACTGACTTTATTGTGATGTTACCATGTGTGAAGGGTTGTACATGTTGTGAGCACTGGTAAACACTCAAATAATTAGGAATTTTTTTTAAAATGCTGCGTTTGTCATCTAACCACAGAGCAAAACCTGGTGAGCCTGTTGCTTGGCTCTCTTTCCTCTGCTAATATGTTTGAAGCAGCAGTGTGAAAAGGGCTATGAAGAAGGCAGTTGTATCCCTTTTGTGGAAAAAAGCACCTGATCTGAGCAAAATACAAAAGGAAATAATAAACTTGACAGAAGGTGCTTCTTAGTGCTTAAATCCTGTGGGTTTTGACATACTAATAATGTGAAGCAATACTCATTGTGGTGAAGGCACATGATGCCACAGATTGACCATCAGGGTATTTTTTTTATATGTCTGTATATATCTATATATATTGATATCAATCACAATTGGACATGATGCTGGAAGTGGGAATAGAGCCCATATGTTAGTAAAGCCTTCATCATAGTGGCAACTCTACTTTCGAATTACCATTTCACAAAACTAGAGCCTCAAATACAGTGTGATAAAAACAGAGAGTCCCAGTGGTGATTGTGTTTACCTAACCATGATCTACTGAAGTTTTTCTCTGCATTTTTTCCTTTAGCAAAGTATCCGGAGATCAAGACTCTGATGGGACCTGATCCACATTTAAAGTGGATTGTATCTGGAATGGTTTTCGTGCAGCTTCTGGCATGCTACCTGGTGAAAGATTTATCTTGGAAATGGATTTTCTTCTGGGCTTATGGTTTTGGGGGTTGCATCAACCATTCGCTGACCTTAGCCATCCATGACATTTCACACAACGTCGCCTTTGGGAACAAGCAGGCCAAGTGGAACCGGTGGTTCGCAGTCTTTGCCAACTTGCCGATTGGCATCCCTTACTCTGCCTCCTTCAAGAAATACCACATTGACCATCACCGGTACCTGGGAGGGGACAGCTTGGATGTGGACATTCCCACAGACTTTGAAGGCTGGTTTTTCTGTACACCCCTTCGGAAACTGCTTTGGCTTATCCTCCAACCTCTGTTCTACAGTCTGAGGCCACTGTATGTGAACCCCAAAGCGATTACACAGATGGAAATTTTCAATGCTCTTGTACAGTTTTCTGTAGACCTAATCATTTACAACCTTTGGGGACTCAAACCTGTTATTTATTTAATAGCAGGTACATTTCTTTGCTTGGGTTTACATCCCATTTCTGGGCACTTCATAGCAGAACACTACATGTTCTTAAAAGGGTATGAGACATACTCTTATTATGGACCTCTGAACTGGCTCACCTTTAATGTAGGATACCACATGGAGCATCATGACTTCCCCAGCATTCCTGGATGCAGATTGCCCATGGTAAGTGTGGCGTAAGTATGCATGAGTTAGATTTTGATAAAAGCTTCTAAACTGCCCCAAAGAAAACACTCCAAATCATAGCAATTGATCAATTTAAGAAAAAAAAAGGAAAAAAAAGAAGAAAGCTTTTTGGATTTGTTTCTAATTAATTTTAAGCCAGAGATTGAGAGAAATGGCTGTCAAACTGCTGTAATATTTAGTTTATTTGATGCAAACTAGAACATCTGACCCTCAGAGGGCTTGAGAAATACTTTTTGCATGATAAAATCCTCCAACAAGGCTCTAAATTTCTCCATTTACGTGTCTCAGCCAAGACGTTGCAACTCTCTAAAGGGAGACAGGTGGCAATTACTAGTTGAAATTTGTCTAATAATCAATCTGCTACCTATATTGCTTGATTAACATCAAAGAGCAGCTTTTCTATTTTTGAGATGACATAAGAACTGGGGCATGTTCCAGCTTGACACAGATGGCACTAGAAAACAAAGCCCTGCTCTCCATGACTCGTTTTAGCTCTGCTGCCCCACCCACAGAAACTGCAGAGGCCTGGTCTGTCATTGGGAAAGTGCTGTGGCTTTCCTCCTTTGAAAGGCAAACCCCTTTTTGCCTATGTTTTATCAGCTGTGGGAATCAAATTTGCAAAGCCCAGGTGTCTAGGAAAGCTTTTCAATCTCCCTCCAGGTATGTAGCTACTCTTGTGTGTTTTAATACAAGGGTTCCACAGCAGGTGCTCACAGGATTAGAGGTACGTGACTTCGGAGTATTACTCCTGCATATAAATTCTCTGGCGTGGTAGGAAGGAAACATCTTCTATCTCTGGGCTGATGCAAAGTTGGGGACTACTACTGCAGTATCCTCATGAGGTGGAGGTAGAGCTGGGGAGTCTGAGGTTCAGTAGCTGTGGCCTCCCCGCTACTGAATAGGATGTACAACTTGTATGATGGTATATCCAGGCAAACCCTGATGTATGGAGTAATGTTCTTCATCACAGAAATGCTGTCTGAGAGGAGATTCAAATCAAGGGGAGGTTTTCTTGTGGTGTAGAAGAGAGTGGGAAGCCTCTATAGTGCCTGCAGTTCTTTGCTGCTGGAGGTCTGTCCTGGAGAAGCTGCCTGTTCCTGGCGAGGCACAGAGCAGCTGGTACAGCAGCCCACACTCAGATGTGAAGTTCTCCTGTCAGGCACTCCCATCAGTGATACACCTGATAGTTCAGCTGGGAAGTGCATGGGCTTAGCTTTAGTTTCAAATGTTCAAACTTATCAGATAGGCTTAGATCCTTAGATTACCAAAATGTAAATAGAGAAAGAGAAGAAGGTTAGCTCTGTATCCTGCACAAGGATACAGAGTGACTAATTGAACTTGCTGGGACTGTTGCTCCAGACCTGACTGAGACCTGAAAAGCTCTTCTCCACCCACACCACAAATAGTTCAGCCTAATTCCTTGAGGCAGTACAGCAGCTGGAAGTATCTGCCCTCCCATGTAAAGAAGATAGAGCTACTAGTTGAATTTCATGGGCTTATGTTCATGTGTGTTTTGCTCTTTGGAGAAAGAGAGGCTTGTCCTGCTGGTGGAGGACACACCAGACTTGTCAATCACTGTTGCCTTCTAGAAAAAGGCAAAAAACTTGGAGTCTTTGACGAGTGATTAATTATAGTTAAATATTCTATCAAAAAGTGAAAATTCTTTGGCAAAACAGTTACTGTAGAAAATCCTTTGTCCATTAAAATAAGTTGATTACTATTTTCTGCAAAATGAGGAAAAAAAAATCTCCACCTCTTCAGTGGAAAGAAATAAGGAAACAGATCCTTGCTGCTTAGCTTTCAACCTTGAACTTCATAACAGGTAAAAAACCTCACCTTGCTCTACACTGCTTAACCTCCCAGCAAATTCTTCACTCAGCAAAGGTCTAGTTTTTTTCAGATCTTGTCTTTTAGGCACTTGAACTTGTAATAATTGAATTGTGTAATATGGATGACCTCTCAGTGAGGCTATTTTTATTTTTAATCATTGACAAGTAGAAAGTGGAATAAAGATCTTTATTTGGTTCCTGCATGATTGAGAGCAGGGGAGAAATGGGATTAGAGAATAACTGGATCTTAATCTTGGGAGGTAACTAGCTCTTCAGCTTGCTTATCAAGAAAGGAAATTCAGCTTTGTCCTTTGTTACAGGTGTGTCATTCAGAACATTCTGAGTAATGTGTTTGCTGCTGGAAAGACCTTTACCCTAGGAGTATGACAGATTTGAAAGAGGAAAAATTAGGCTGCTCTCATAAGCTTATGGATATTAAAGATGAGTGACATGGGTGTGCAGTAAGAAATTGTCTCTTTAGTATAATAAGAGATTACACAAGAGACCATGAAATTTAACATGGTAATGAAGGACCTGCTCTAAAAAAACCCACCTCTATAGACTTAGAACTAGTTTAGTCTTTGCATGAAGCCTTATAACTATAAAACATTGCATTATTTACCAAAAGATCCATTCTTCATTATATGAAGGATTGAATATACTTATGGAGACAGGAGATTGGAGACGGAGGAGGAACTCAGTACTGATCCTAGAAGCTGCAATAAAAGTGGCACTGTTACCAGAGGCAAACTAGTTACTCATTAAGCTTGTGGGAAAAGGAAAAGACATGGTATGAAACCAGATTTATTGGACAGACAAGACTGGAAAACATGGTAGATGTGCTGGGTTTGAATTGCAGATTTCATTAACCCTGCAATGGCCAGGAGGGCTGGCTTGAGTGCCCCCCCCAGCCCCTGGTGGGGTTATAGGAACTCCTGTAATATGCCTTCTAGAATTCTAAACATAATTCTACAGTTTCATGTTGTAAGGATCTCTAGTTTCTGTATAGCCCCAGGACAAAGAGTCTATAACAACTGTGCCGAAATACTAGGCTGGGTTTAACTTTTGTGCCTATCAGATATGATGGAGTAGGATTGGGGTTCTGTAAGGAGGAAGGGTGGGAGGAACTGAAGAAAAGGGACCATCTACAATACAATATGGAGAGCTTGAGAAGTAGGATTTAGGAATACTTTGTCACAGTGCCATCCTCTTTTAAGACAATCTATTATCTGGCTGCAACACTTGCTACCTGAAAACTGCCATCCTCAGGTTTTGTACTGCACCCAGAATCTGACACAAAGGGTGACTCTTCCAGCCTCAAACATACTTAATAGATATAAAATCATAGAATCATAGAATCCTTAAGGTTAGAAAAGATCTCCAAGATCACTGAGTCCAAACTTGGACTGAATATCACCATATCAAATAAACTGTAGCACTTAGTGCCACATCAAGTCATTTCTTGAACAGTTCCAGGGATGGTGACTCCACCACTTCCCCGGCCAGCCTGTTCTGATGCTTGAGAACTTTTTCAGCAAAGAAATTCTTCCTGACATCCAGCTTGAACCTCCTCTGAAACAGCTTGAGGCCATTTCCTCTTGTCCTGTTGCTGGTTGCCTGGGAGAAGAGGGCAACCCTCACCATGCTACAACATCCTTTCAGGTAGTTGTGGACAGTGATAAAGTCTCCCTTGAGCCTCCTTTTCTCCAGGCTAAACAAACAGCAGCTTCCTCAGCCACTCCTTATATGATATTGCATTTAAAAGGGAATCTGCATTAAACCCCAATTACTTTCTGCCCTCCCACCACCCAGATTTTCTGGTAGATAAGGAGATAATTCTGTTTTACCTATGGAGATGCTGAAAGAAATTACAACAAATGAGACGTTTTTGTTGGGAAACTTTCGTGGATCCATTATACAAGAGAAACAGTTTTTAAAATTCTTTTCTGCCACATGATAGCAAAATGGGAACAAATTTCCTTGTCTTTTCCATAAGAAAATCCTTCAGAAGTCCTCCCTCTAACAGCATTCATTAAATTTTCTCTTTTCTCCAATCCTTACTGCACTTTACCCTCTCTTCAGTGTTTCTGAACATTTCATACAGTTGTCCTGCCCAGAGCACAGGGACCTTGCCAGTGGTGCAAGTGGTGCCTGCCTTCCTGCACAAGGTGCTGCTGGACACGAAGCCAAGCAGAGCCAGGAAACACTTCATGTAGGTGTGAATCACTGTCCTACTGCTGATCCGGGGTGACACACTCCAGTGCAAGCCCCTGGCCATCTCTTGTGACCTCTTCATTCAAAATGAGCTACCACCATACTCTGTGGGAAGGCGCTGAACAGGCTCCCTTGCTGAACAAACAACTGCTCCACCACCTGATGCTGGCCAGCAGCTTGCCAGCCATGGCTGGGCTGCCTGCCTCCAGCATATGGTGTGTAAGATCTCCTTTAAAATTTACTGCTGGGTATTTTGATTAATCATCTTAATTGTCAAAGAATACTTGTATTCTAGGTGCCTGTTTTAAATCTGTAATACAACTGCACGATATGTGTATGGAATATATTGAAGTGCAAGTTTTCAGACATACATGTTGTGTTCACCTTAGCTCTTCAGGAGTATGCCCAGACTACACTGCTGCTCACGTTTGCAGAAACTATTGGGCCGAATGCAGGCAGGCTGTTTATTGGCCTCTTCTCTGAGCCATTTTTTCCTACATTGTCACTGGGGTCATTTTTAGTTAGCTTGTGGAGCCAGAGGACACAGCTGCTGCCTGAGACATTGTTCCTAGGAAGTGAATTGGTTCCTATGGATCTCCAGCCTTCCACTTCCAAGGGGCAATACAGAAACACTTCATGAAGCTGAAGCTCTTGTAGTGGTCAGAATTTAACATCAAGAGCTCTGCACAATAATGTTAATAGCTGAGAAAACATCTGGTTCAGAAGGCAAGAAATATATGGGGGCTTTGGAGAGAAGGGGAATGGTAGACTCACCATATGACCTTGACTAGCATAGGTGAGGGCTGAATTACTGTTGAAAGTCAAAATTCAGGCAGAACTTCTAAAATGGAGGTAGGAGGGAAGGTCCAAGCAGCAGTATGCTAGGGAATGACCATATCAGAGCTGTAGTGAAGCTTTTGGGACTGGGTATCTGAGACCCCCTTTGTGTTTGCATCACGCCTCCTGAGTGGCCTTCATTCAAGGGAGCTTACTGTTAAAATAGTGCTCCCTCTAATTTTCTGGCTATTCCTTTTGCCACCTGGGAAAAGGAAGGATATAAACCCCAGATAAATTATTTCTGACTGTGGTTACAGAAGGAGCACAGGGAACTAAATCTGCATCTCCAGAGATGTTACCTGGTGCCTGGAAGTCACCTTTCTTCCAGTCGTTAACAAATACCTTTAAGGAGAAATCCTGATATTGTCTGAATCCCACGGAAAATAAATTACTTTTGAAGTACAAAGTAATGCTTTAAAGCAGGATAAAGGGAATTATTAGGAAGTCAGAGGTATTCAGTGAAAGACAGAATACAGTCAGACCTGAACTGAATCTTCCATGTCCAGCACAGCACTACCATGCCACCAGCACAAGGAGTGCACAGGGGCAGAGGTTCTTAATGACTCTTGTTATGTTACCCAACCTACCTCACAGAGGAGGGTCTGCTAGGAAGCTGAATTGATGACGTAATTAGCAGTGGGCCATACTGGCTTATAATTTAACTTTTGCTGGGATTCTTACCTTTTCACAAGCAGTCACAATTCTGTGTTAAGATTCCACCATTACACCTCGGGTAATGAGACCTTCCTGCCGGGTGACAGTTTCTCTGTAAACCTTTTTGTCTTCACTGGAACTCTGCACTGTGCTCGTCATATCTGGCTTTAAAATTTTTTAAAAGAGAGAAGTCACCCTGTCCAGCAAGACAAACTACTCTATTCTAGAGCTTTGTTTGTCTAGGAGGTGGAGCTGCAGTAAAACCATGCCCAACCAATTAGATGCAAGTGTACAATAGTTAACAGACTGCTGCTTTGTGTGTTCAAAAAGCAGAGCATCTCGGTGGAGCAGGAATAATAACTAATAACTGATAACTTGGGAATCCTCATAGTCCCCTGAACCTGCCAGCTTTGAAACCTCTTTGTCCTCTGGTTCTGGCCTTACTCCCACTACAAGCACCACTCCAATAATGCACAGTGCTTCTCTGATAGCAGCAGTCTTAAGATTTGGGGATTTGTAACAGGGATGAAATTTTATTAGATTTATGATCTACCAATGAATCTTGCAGCATTTTTAATGTCAAACTGAGGAGAACAGACCATCCCTGTGATTTCCTCTGCCTGCTGGAGGAACCTGTCTTGCATTTGCATCACAGTAGCAAAATGGAGGGAAGAAAATGAAGTGTAGGCAAGACTGTATCTGGTATTTTCTCAATTGGTAATTCTCTCTTACCCAGAACCCTCAACAGAAGACTATTACAAGTGGCAAACAGGGCTTTAAATACAGTGTGTTGGAGTCTTGACAATTGATTAGGTGGATGAGGCATCTCACTGTGGAGATCCCACCACTTCCAAAATGAGACAAAACAGTTCTGACTGAAGGCAGCGATCCCACATCTTTCAAATTCTGACACTGTGAGGCAAAACTTGCATCAGAAATCTGCAAGTATCTAAATGCATTTAACTACATCTTGTTTGGCTGAACTTCAGAAGCTCACAAGCAACAACAGGTAACTTCAGGTTATGGCTGTGCTATCAGATCTGAATGTGAAGGCTGAAACACATCTGATACTGTGCAACTAAACAGCTCGTTCTCTCTCTTCTTCTTCCAGGTGAAGAAGATTGCAGCGGAATATTACGATAACCTCCCACATCACCAGTCCTGGATTCGAGTTCTGTGGGACTTTGTTTTTGATGACTCTATTGGTCCTTACTCAAGGGTTAAGAGACGGTGCAAGCTGGCAAAGGAAAGCTAACGGGCTGGTCCGCCTGTGGCAGTGGGGTGTGTTTTTCCACACTTGACTTCAGTTTTCACATGACTTCAGTTTTCTGCAGAAATAGGAGGATCTCTGTGTGTGCTGAATTAATGTTGGTGCATGCTGCTTAGACCAAGAGGATGAGTGTGATAATTAAGCAATTGAATGCACTATTTTAGACTATTGATACTTTTTAATAAAGGATGTTTGTGTGTGTAACCCTCAGAAACTAGGTTAGAGTGAATTATGATTAGGTGAACCTCTGGTCTAGGCTTTGAATTAACTTCCTGGGGCACACATGCCCAAGCCTGGGTTTTGGCCTGGTCTGCAGTGGAGAATGTTTGCTGTGTGTTACATGTGACCATGTGTGTGTATAGTTGAGGACTAGTTTCTCTTGATGCCAGATTAGAAGTGGATGCTCTGCGTGCACAGGACTGTGGAAGCAGGAAGGACTGGCATGCAGTAGTAAATGACACTCTCTGGAGAACACAAGGGTGCCTTTTGCTCAATGTCTTGTCTAATCTAATAATCTTCTGATAATTGCTAGAGATTTTGTATATGCAATGAAATATGTTTATATTTTTGTATATTTGTATCATTATTTTAGTAGCTGCTGTTTGATCTTTATTCCAGGGATTTGTCTAAACCTTTTCTGAATGCATTTCCATGAGGATCTAATACTCACTCCTGATCACCTTTCTTGATCTCCTCTATATTATAACCCTCTCTGTGCATAGGATTTAGGAAGGTGTGTCAGTGAAGACGTAGAGATGCTATGGTGGTATTTGTTCCTAACTGCTTTCATAATAATGGTAAATTTTTTTCTCTGTCATTCAAGGGGCACTGACTTGGCATTTGGGAAGCATATGATACTCCAGCTATATAAAATTGCCACTGATGGTGTTAAGAGGATGGAATGCAGAGATGGGGCTGTTTATCTCCCTACATCTCTTACTTGGTGCTATTGACCTTCATCTGTCATTTCTGCCCACTGGAAGACACAAATCTTCCTGCCTGTCCTCTCCAACAATAAACTTGTGGCTATCCTCAATAATTCCCTGTCATCAAAAACCTTAAATCAACATACATTTCTCCAAGCAGAACAATATTTTGGGAGTCAGGAATTCAGATGTTCAGATGCCATCTAGTATCTTCCCATCACGCTGGAAAGCTGGCAAAGTATTTCTTTCCTTACTAAGCAGTTAAAAGAGAGATCTGTATAGGTGCTCTTGCCTTCTAACCCTCTAACAGTTTTTTTTTTTCTTCTGGAAATCCATGGCTGTAACAAAGAAAAGGATTATTGTGCAGTCTCATCAGTCTCTCAAAGTATACAATTAGTCCTGGAAAGCCTGATTTCCTCAATAAACGCAATTTTGTTCCCTGCTCCAGAAGCACTGTATCCAGTGAGCCAGTGTCCATTCACTAGCCTGGCACACAGCCAAGCTAGCCTGCTGCAATTTGGGTTCCTCCTCCTCCATTTCCCCTTCCTCCATTTTTCTCACCCATCTGATTTTAGCAAATGGGTAAATAAATACCCAGATACGCTCAGCAGAGCAAGATCCTTTGTAATACAGGGCTGAATACCAGTTTATTCACAGATATGGCTTTGTGCTTTTGGATAAGAAGAACTGGGCTTCCTCAGTGAAGAACATAGTTAAGTCATTATGTCTTAATTATTAAAGCTCCTTTTCTCCCAAAGGAAGAGGTGTTTATGTGGGAACTTCCATTACCTTATTTGTATCAGTGCTTATGTCAGGGAACCTTAGTTTTTTATTAATTTACTTCAGTGCTGCTGGCACTCTGATCAGGTATTCAACTTCCCATGTCCTTAGCAGCCGTTCCTCAACTCTCTTGTCCAACTTAGCAAGTTAATATAAAAACCACAATAAAGATTATGCTATCTTCGTTGATTTGACTTTTGTCCTTATCCTCTTTGATGAGTGACCTTATGCTGTAGTTCCCTTACTCAGCTGTTTCATGATGCAGTCACTTATGTGGTGTATGGATTACTAGCCTAGCCTGACACAGAGGCTGTGATGTAAACAGGGGCCAACCAAAATTGTCAACTGCTTCTTAACATGCCTCCCATCAGTATTTCCATCATGGTCCCAGCCTGCTTAGCCTGGGCAGCCCCACAGCCCTCCTGATTGTCACCGTCCATCTCAGCAGGAATTTGAAGTGGCTGCAGTGCCTGCAGATGTGCAGTGTGAGCTGAGTTCCAGTGTGTGGGGGTACTGCTGGAGAAGGCTGTGATCCTGTCCTCCCCATGGGCAGTAATGTTAGCAGAAGTTTTTTTTTTCCATAACCACAGGGCATATGGGTCTGGGTAAAAAGTACGTCAGGGCTGTGTGTAGTTTTATTCCCTTTGCTTAAAAATTGATCCAGGTCTCCTTCACCGTGTGGGCACACTAATGCTCTGGCAAGAAGGAACTGTATGACAGGTCAGAGTGGAGATTAATTTCCCCTTAGATTTCTGCTATGTAAAATGCCTCTGTTCTGCCCTGTAGCAGTGGCTCAACAAGCCCACTCTAAAAGGACACCCTTCTCTACAAAGGCAAGTGGCAAACCGAATTACTGTCTGGGAGCGGGGAATCCTCTGGCAGTGCCACTACTGAAAATAAGCCACCTTGTGCATCCCTGACATTGGAGTTCTAAGTCACTGGGAACCAGCACAGTGCTTGTGATGCCAGGACTACTCCCCTGCCCCTGTCTGCCAAGCTTCCCCTTCCACCCCTCACACCTTGCTCCCACTGCTATTAAGTGGCCTTGTGCAAACTTCAGCTTATTATGTCTTAATTATACGAGGCCTGCAAAGGTGGAGGAAGAAAGTAAGAAAAACCCATTTACAGTAGCTGGCTGATGTTAACAGAGGGGCACAACATATCCAGGCTGCACACTCAGCCCAAATTACAACATGGTTATTACTGACCTTAGGCATAATGCCACATTCCAAGGGAAAAAGTGAACCGTGCCAGGCACCAACTTCCTGCAGCTTAATTAGGATTATGGGACAGTTTCACAGAATGGTTTTGATCTGAGAGGCAGCAGTTTTGAAAAGGGCTTGCCATCATCAGGTATGCCATTAATGGGTTTATAATTAGTAAACGCATGAGCTACTGTAAGAGATTTATACAACAGAGCGTTCTAATCTCTGCTGTTACTGATGCTTGTCTGTGTTCTTCATACTGGAAAGACTCCTACTTTTGGTCCTGGGGTTCCCATACTCTCGTGCACAAGGGTGTCTGCCTGCTTTAGTTCCCATGTGGAAATCTCTATCCCACTGTTTAACCTATCTCTTGCCTTCTGCTGGCATTAAACATCTAACAAACATCAGGCTCAGACTGGAGCTCATCACTGCATTAAACTCAGATTACTCCCATTTTTCCCATAGTTAATTATAGCATAACCACACGGTAAAAAAGACTTATTTCTAAAAGGCAGATCAGGCTGCTTTGAAGAGCACTGAAGAACACGCCATGGTCCCCAAAAGAACACAGGTAACATTTTACAGCAAACTTCCAAGCACAACTCATCCTGCCTCCTCTCCTGGGTCTCCTGTAGCTCGCCAGCAGCCCCTCCTGCCTGCTGCACTGCTCCATGAGGCCTGGGGGACACAAGCAGGTGGACAAACAGCCCCTCCTGGGCTGCTGCACCAGCCTCTGCTCCCAAAACCATTTCTGGGGCCTGGCTTTTAAAACAAAATCTTCATGAAAGCCTGAAGAAAGGAAAGGAGCTTGGAAAATATTTGACAGACTTCAGTAGCTGAACTCCAATCTCTTGCCTTTTGCACAAAGTTACCAAGAAGATGGTATCAAGACTGCCACGTAAAGTTTGCACCAAACTAAATTAAGCAGAAATTCCTAAGATTGTGCTGGTGGAAAAAATGGCTGTAAAGAAAAAAAACTGTATGACCTGAAAGATATGACTGGGTATGCACTGTTAAGTGTTCGGTGTCCTGTATGGATATCTTGGATAATGCTCAAGACCTGCACAAGATTAACAAATGACTCCCCTTATGCCTCTAGTCAGCAGTGCTATGCCAGTGATTTCAGCCTGCATCCTCCGAATCCCTTTGGTAGCCTTGTTCTGCAGAGACACCTCCCTTTTATTACTGGAAGCCTGAAGGAGGTGCAGGTGATGGGACCTGTGTTTTTTTTCAGTGATGGCTGAAGATGCAGTGGGACAGGTGGTGGTGGCCTGAGAAGAGCCGTAGGCCACTGTCCCTCACCGACTTTGGCAAAAAGTTGCTGAGGTTGTGGCAGCCTGGCTGCAGGAGGTGGTGCTCAGCCGGCGATACGAGAGGGCTGGGCAGGCGAGAGCCACGTCTCACCGTGAGATAAGGCAGGGCTGTGGCCACTGCATCAGCCATAAACGCTCAGGTTCTCCCCTCATGCTCTGCAGCACTGCTCAGGCAGAGCTGCCACCCAACAGTGATCCTCAGTCACCTTCCCCTTATCATCAAGTCAAGTGACACAGAAGCGCGGGAGCTCAAGGGACACATGAAACAAAGAAAGGCAGGGCCATGTGGACAATAAACAGTTTATTACCAATATGAACACAGATACTGTGATGCACTGACGTACCATTTTTTAATATTGTGATAACTCTGAGACAAAGAACTTGTTGGCTGACAACTAAACATGTCTCTCTTTCTTCTGGTGATGCCTCAATACGTTTCTGTTGGCAAAGGATCTTCATTTACATTGCAGACTACTAGTAAAATTACTTTGAAGTCACCTATCAAAAGCAAATGGTTCACGTGTGTTCTTATCTACTACTAAAAAGAAAGGTAATACATTTAAATAAGCAAATACAAAATACAAAAAAGGCTGACAAATCCAATGTGCAGTGTCAGATGAAATCTAAAAAATTCCGAAAATTTAAAATTTAATAATCTTTAGATTAAGACTTTTAAAATGAAGCGAATCCAAGGCAGCAGCAAGCTTCAAAGTGTGCTGAGTCTGCTAATAAAAAGGGTGTAAGAACAAAGACAGTGCCGGTGTCCTCTCTCACCATCTTGCATGACCTTGGTACACTTAGAAATGATCCGATCTTCCTAGCATTCTTAGTACCGTCCAAATGCTTTGCAATCATTATGTTGTACTGATTCTACTCAACTCCTGCCGTATGGCTAGAAAACCAAACCAAAAAGTTAGTGCATAATGTTACATCCAGTGTGATGGAAAATGCTAAGTACAGAGGTTGCAGAAAGTACACGCTGGTAGAAGGATGAGTGGAGGGTAAAAGGATGAGTAAGGGTAAGCAGTCAGCTGTTGGCTTGCAAACTGCAGTACTACTTTAAGAAGTTGCATCTGTGGTGTATGTGAATGCCTTATTTTGCACTGGAATGAACTAGGGAGGCTCTGAGGGCCAAGCTGCTGGGACGGTAGCGTTTGGGCAAGGGCCTCTTCAACTGCAAACTGCCCCGAGTTTTGTGAGCACACAGGTCTAGAGCAAGGGGACAGGGAATGGATTTTAGCTGTTTTACAGTCTCCTCTTTTTCCCTTCTGTGTTATCTAAGGTGGGGAGTACAGTGTGTGAACATGCATCCTTCATATGCCCTAATGTGGGCTTCAAATGGGAATTTTACTGAGCATTTCAACAGTGGCCCTGAAAAATACTTTCAGTTGTATATTGCAAAGCAATTTATAAAAAAAGTACTGATACATTTGGTACAGCTGCTGTATTCTTCAATGAATTAAAAAAATGCATGGCTATTTGGAAAGCTGTAACCTGTGCTCTTCAAGCACAGGAAGCCTACAGAAGATTTTTGGGAAGGATTTTCAGTTAGCTGCCTTTGTCCCCTCCTCATCCTGGACCTGTGTGGCCAGCTAGTTACAAGATTTCACGCTTGCTAATTGTGATAAATTGATGTGCCATGGGCAACGGGCAGGCCCTTTCTTACCCTCCCACCTGTGAGAAACACCAGCCAGTGAATTTCTCATAGGTTGGTGGTAAAAATGCTCATCAACAGCATAATAAAGGATGTAAACACAATGTTATGGTCAGAGCTTAGATAAGGTAGGTGCTTGTTCTTCAAATGTTCGTATAAATCAGAGCTGCTCAGAGAAGTCTGAAAACACCAGGGAACTCTCTGCAGTTCCTATCATCTTATCTATGGGAAATTAGTCATAAAGATGAGAAAAATAATAATTTTTCTCTTTCTTACCATCAATTATCTCCTCTTTCACTTTGTGTAACTCTCTTACAACTTCCTCCAATATTTCCTGATGAGACAAAACACAAGTCAGCTGCTCAGAATTTCCTTCTAACTGGTGGAAGAAAATGCAAGTTTAACACGGTTGTGCTTGTCCCCCGCCTCCGCGGCCGATCAGAGCCTGGCACTACAAACAGCTACTTCTGCACTCCCGGGCACGGATGCAGAAGATGCTGGCATATTTATTTGCACATTTCTGTACAGACATATTGATGAAATAGCAGTGAGATTGTGCTCTCTTGCTGCTCACCAGCTAGCCCTTCTCTAAGCACCTAGTTATAGAGGAAATCAGAAGACTGAACAGCTGTTTTGCTTGTACAGCGCATGCATGGGGGAAAATGGGTAGCTCATTGAATCTCTTAAGTGCAAATGGCTTCTTCACTCACCTGTTTCATTCGATCAAAATCTAAGGCATCCATAGCCACATCATTGCTGCTGCTCACTGGTTTCATCCTTGAGAAACGGAAGAAGAGCATTAAAAAACCCAGTTAGTTCCTTGTAATGTGTGCTAAGCTACACGTACCTGATGGTGTGGATGAAATCCACCGCAGAGCAGGAGCTCCTGTGTTCCAGTGCTGGACAGGAGACTCCTTATCATGCTGCTCAAGAGCATTTGGCAGCCAGGGAGCAGCACTGCTCCCATATGCACAACCTGACCCTCAAAGATGCTGTGAAATTTCTC